GTGCTGGTTTTGTCTGGGGCAGAGTTAATTTCCTTCCCAGGGGCTGTTACAGGGCTGTGTTTTGGGTTTGTGCTGAGCACGGGGTTGATAACACAGAGATGTTTTTGTTATTGCTGAGCAGGGCTTGCTCAGAGCCAAGGACTTTGCTGCTCTTGGCACTGCCAGGCTGGGCAGGGGATGGGGGTGCTCGGGAGATTAGGGGCAGACACAGCCAGGACAGGTGACCCCAGGTGACAACAGGGATGTTCCAGACCGTGTGACATCATGCTCAATGTGCAAAGCAGGGGTGAAGAAGGAGGAAGGGGAAATGTTTGGAGTGATGGTGTTTGTCTTCCCCAGTCACTGTTACATGTTACTGCCCATGGCAAGCAGTAAACTAATTCCCTTTTTTGCTCTCCTTATGGCTTTTGCTGTGCCTATTAAACTGCCTTTATCTCAACTCATGAGTTTTCCAGCTTTTACTCTTCCAATTCTCTCCCTGATCCTGCTGGTGGGAGAGTGAGTGAGGGATTATGAGGGTTAAACCACGACAACTGGGACACCATTAGATGTCCCATATCAACTTTCTGTCCTGACCTGCAAAAGGCAAGGCTGTTTTCATGGATTTCTCTGAGGTACAAGAAGCTGAATGGAAACTCTTAACTTTGAGAAGAATTGATTTTTTTCAAGGCAAGGCCATCTGGCAGAAGGTAGAGCAGGATTGATGCAATCCTAAACCAAGAGGGAAGATCTTGGTACTGTGTCACCCAAACCTTGGCGCCCTCCTACACCCCACAGGCACTCAAGGCAGAGCAAGGAGGAGAGGAAATAGTTCATGCCTATACTCTCTTCACCACACACACCACAAAGCTTTCCAAGTGAAAAGGTTTCAAAGCTGCCATCAGAAACTCTTACTCTGATATGGGAGCTGTTCAGAGGAACACATCCCTTTGAATGGTTTAGCTCATGACACTTCTAACAATCACCTGTGTAGCAACCTACTCATGGTTTGCAGACAGAGCTTGGGAGGGAGCTCCTTATCCGTGTGAGCTGGCTGTATTTCAGCAATGGCACTTTCTTTGTGGACAACACCAAGGCTGCCATCCACCTCTTGCAGTTTTGCCTGTTTTTCCCAAGGAAAAGATGGTGCAGACCTCTGTCAGGAGTTGGTGTCACCTCCCAGCTCCTGTTTGGACACCTTTTTTTGGCCCTGGAAGTAGCAGCTAAAAGGCACGTGTGGGCTCACAGCCTCGATGTTTCATGGTGGTTTCCTGACTCAGGAAGCAAAAACACCAGGAGGATGGCAGATTCCTTCATGCCAGCAGAATCTAACACCTTATGATCCTATGATCTAGTGCAAAAGGCAGGAGGAGTGGGAAGCCCAGCAGGCACCTGATTGAAGAGGCTGGGGGAGATGAGAGGAGACAGTGTCCTGCTGTGTGCTTCTCCCACCTCCATAACCTCCTTATTTTCAAAGAGCTTCCACAGGGCTGTGGTAGCTATTGTTCTCCACACCTGGTGCATCATCATCCCCACTACACTGACAGTTTGGGACTCTCACATTGCCTTCTTCTTCCTGACACTGAAAGGAGCAGCATTTTTGGCTTCAGGAGATAAAAAAAAGTGTGTAACTCGGGCACCTCTGTGCTAACAATATAGAGGATCATGCTGCATAGCCCATAACCAGCATGGGCTGCCTGGGCAAATAATCATGCTCAGACATACCCAGGGATATTCCACATCCACGTGTCTGCCCCTTTTCCTTCCAAAAGTGACCACAGCACCTGGGTCAAGCTTTGGCACAATTTCAATCGATGTGCAGAGCCAGCAGCGAAAGAGCGATTTTTTAATGTTTGATTTTCAAGGAGGCTGCAGATTCCCCTTGGCCATTAAGATGAAAAGGAGGCTAATTCAAAGCTAGAGCAAAGTTTAAGGAGTAATTCTACACAGGCAGGTAAGATAAAGTAAAAGTTGCTCTTTTCTCTGTTTGGCCCTGTAAAATGAGAAACACTATCAGGGCTCTGCATTTTTTGAAACCTGCATTATTTCTTTTTTCCTTGCAAGGGTTGAAATAGATTTAAGCACCATTGTTATTATCTCTAAAATGACAGAGACATTTTCATGTGAGTTTCCCTTCACAGTCTGATATCCATATTCACCACGTGCATCCCTTTGATTTGGGGACTGCAGCTCCCCTGCGGTCCAAGAACTCAAGGTTCAATTTGTGTTGCTCTTTCTGCCAAATGGGATTATTAGAGACTGAAAAAAAATCACAAGGTCACTCACAGCCTTGACAGAAACAGGAGGGTAGGAGAATATTAGGAGGAAATTATTAGCTCTAATATCCAGCTGCATTTGGCAAACCTGAGTGTATTTGGATTGCCTGTACCAGCATTTCACTCGTCTGCTTCCAAATGATTGCCCTGGCCCCAGTGATTAACCACCTGAACACACCCAAGAAGGATATTCACAGAAAAGATCTCATGATGAAAAGGCTATTCCTGGCCTTCTTTCCATCACATCATAATCTGTCCACTAATATGGCTTGAGATCTCAGCTGATCAAAAGGTCATAAGATGCTACTGCTAAGTATCACTCTGTCTCTGTTCAGCCAAAGGCATTTTTACTCCATTCAACAGGCAGAGGAATGTAATAGCAAAGCCTTCAAATCTGTTTGTATAATAGATGAAGTCTTCTCTTTATGGCATTATTCATCCTTCAGGGAATGACACCTGATAAATAAATCTCTAGCTCCCAGTGAATTTAAATAAAACAAAGGCAAATCTTATCCCTGTGCACTGTAAATATAAAACTGCACATAACACAAGAGTTCCCAATCTTCCACCATCTCCTTTGCTAAAAAAGCTATAAAGTGCTGACCATCCTCAGATTCTGCCAAAGTCAAGGGAGCCCAAATCTCTGAGTAAATTACAAAAAGCACAGTAATAACAGGGGAAGGACTTAAAGATACATAACTCTTTTAGTCTAATGAAATGGTAAAACTTGCACCTTTTTGTCTTCATGCTAGTAAAGTCCAGCAAGGTAAGAAAGGGGGGTTGCCATCACATCGATAGCAATAATGGAGTGAAAATGGGGGGAAATCTAATAAATGGGTCAATGTGTTTTCTAGAGAATAACACTAGGGGGGACAATTCCCAAGCATCCTGGGATGAATAAAATACTGAACCACATCCTACTCAACACCATGACCTAGCCCAGCTGGTCACTATTGCACTGGTGGCAACTGGTCCATGCCAGTCATTGCCTCCAGCAGCAACTGCAGCCACTTCTCTGGCCATCCTGCTTCCAAGCCTCTCAACATGGGCAGGGATGGCTGCCCAAAACAGCAGGGAGAGAGGGCACCACTGCCAAAGAGCCACCTGCCACCTGAAGCCCGTGTCTAGCGGGTCTGCAGAGGTACTGCCTGTGAGCAATGCCACTGGGAAACTGTTTTGTGTTTCCAGCGCACCTGAAGTGCTGTCACAAACAAATTAAACCCCTCAGCATCTCCCAGACTATCCGCCCACTCTTTGGCTTTCCAGAGCCCCATGCCAGCACCAACAGACAGTTTCTTTAACTGCAACTGGCAGTCATTTTGCTCCTCTCCATGCTTTCAAAGCTGAGAGCCATCAAAGATTAGGAGAAAAAATCATGACTATTTTTCCCTAAGAAGCAGAACTGGTAATAGGCTTCAAGAAAAATCCTTCTAAATGCAAGTGATAAGTGCAGACTGTGTGAAGGCTGACAGGTCTGATTATAATTATCACTGCAAGGGGACTAGCACTAACCTCCCTTCTGGAAGGCAATGACAATTCCTGGAAGGGAACATGCAAGTGAATTATCATAAACAAAATCATTGCAAGTAGAGTTGTCTTTTGCTGGGAAACTAAACAAGATCCAGATTTGGGGGTGAAAAAACAAAAAACAAAACAAACAAGCCCTAAGAATTTATTAAAGTTTATCCTGATAGAAAATGACAATCACACATTTAGGTTTTTCTGACTTCAGAATGATGGGAGTAAAAGAATCAAGTGGGACACATGAAGTGTAAGATGGAGTCATGCATGCAAGAGGTATTTGGAAATACAGGATATATTCTGAAAGTACACTTGAAGAACATACTGTGCATTTACACATGTACAAGGAGTCCCAGGGAGGATGTTGGTTCAGATTGAGATAAATATTCAAAACTAAGAAAAAACCCAAACCACCTTGCACCAACCTTTCCCCATTCCTCACTTCCTAGCAGGAAGAAAGCCAAACAAAACCAATGCAAATCTCTTCAAATTGCTTCTATCCATAGACACCCTTTCTTTGCATCTATACATTAACTGAAATACAATGGCATCAGATTTCAGCAAGGTTGTGAGGTAGATAGGGTAGGTAGCATTCCCTCAAGATCATCCTGTCCTGACCTTTCTGCTTTCTTTGATGGCATTCCATTTTTCTTAGTCTGCGTGTTTTTTTCACATTTTTTTCACTCCATTTCCATTGGAAACTTGGAAACAGAGACCTTGGGCAATCTGGACTGAAAGTAGCAGTACCCTAGCTTTTTCTTCCCAAAACAGGGAAACAGATATTGTCTTAATAGGGGCTATAACTGCATAGGACATGAAGAGAAGAGCCTCAGAGTCAAAAGCAGTTCTAAGAGTTTCATTCTCATTATATCTCAATGGAGTGGAGCAAATAAATTGTGCAAAGAGACATATGGAAGCTCACTACGCAAATGGCCTATTTAAGGCTCTTACTTCCTAATTAGGTCCTGGTGTCAGGAGGTTGGTAACAATTATGCACACATAGATCATTTGGATACAATACAAACTGTTCTAAAACCCAAACCATCAAAATGGCATGGATTAAAAGAAACCCAAATTAATGTTTTAGACTATTTTGCTTAGTTCTTGGACTATCAGTTTCTGTGATACACATGCCTAAGTTTTGTGTCCAACATTGCAAAATTGTATTTGGAAAGGGAAAAGGAGGAAACAAAAATCATCACAGCCATATCCCATTGTTCTTACCTTGTTCACTGATTTCGTCACTGGACTCTGCACAGGGAACCCACACTCTCTTCCCAAATTCTTCATCTGACTCTGTGGTGTTTCCCAGAGCAAAGAGAAAAAAAAAAAAAAAAAGATAACCTTGATTGTAGGTATGACTGTGTAGAAAATGGTCACAAACATCCAGAGTTTTGCTTTGCCCTTTTGATTTCCTTACATGTTCCAGCATGACCACTATCACCACTTGCCAGCTGGGGCCCTGAGAGCACCCAGTGCTCACCCTCAGGTCCCTCGGTGTTCTGTACTGCCCGCCAAGCTTCCCCTTACCCCACACTGATGCGCAAACTTCCCCTCCCAAGTGTCCCCTGTAAGCATGCTGGCACCAGAGAGCCACCACAGCCCTCCCCAGCAGTGTGGGGCACACAGTGAGCCATGATCTCAGGGAGTGATGCCTTGGATTCCTCTGACAACCTGTGCTGGAAAAGCTTGGGAAGAGAGCAGGAAGGTGTCGCAAGAAGCCAACCCGCCTGGTTTGTATAAGAGTTGAAGTAGGGAGCTGAAGCCAAGGATTACCACATTGCAAAACCATTTAAAAGAGAGTAAGTGCTCGTGATTCAACAACGTGACAGCAGCAAACCCGCTCTGCACTGTGCTTTGGTACTTCTGGTATGGAAATGAGGTCTTCCTCTCCCCTTCCTCCCCTCCCACCTCCTCTCCTCTTTGTCCACCTCTCCAGTTCTTCACACAAAGGTGAAATATTTCACATTTTCACCTGTGATGATGCAGATCAGAGAGTGTTTGCTTTGCTTTTCTTTGCTTTTCACTGATTTTGCCAAAGGCATCCTTTTAAGCATCAGTCTGTGCAAAGATAATAGGTGACACAATTCTCTATAACTGGAATCAGCAACAAATCAGCCATCTGCCACTCCAGGGGTCTGAGATTAACCCAGCTACTGGACCGTGACTGCAAAGCATTTGCACATTTAGATTACAGAAATGTGAGGTTACAGGTCCAAAAAAATAAGACTGGGAGAGGGGAAAGTGTGGGGAGAAGGAGTAGAAGACAGCCCTTGGGAGAGCCCTTTAGATTAACCCTTCCAGACACAAGTCACTCCATAACAACTCTAAGTAGACAGTATTTCTCATTATAAGGTGCTAAAAGGGTGAAGGATTTGAAGGAAGCAACTTGAGACACATTAGACATCATGTTTCTGGACAATACATCCAAAGACACTTATTTTAGACAGACAGGAATAAAGACGAAATAATCTATAGCTGCCTTGTCAAAGCCTTGCCTCCTTGGGAAACATGACCAAGCTGCCCAGAGGGTTGACTTGACCACTCGAAAAGAACAAGAGTAGCATTTTTGTCCCAAGATGGACAAAATGCATTCCACAAGCTCCCCTATAGTCAAGATTTCGAGAAATGAAATGTTACTGAAATAACAAGGTTTGTGAAGACCTCTTCATTTTTTGCTCCCTTCTTGAGTAACAAACACTCTTTTGCTTCTGTGCACATATAGATGCTGTCACTCCACATTAATACCTGTCTGTATCTTTGGGATCCTCTCAATAAATCTGTTGGGAATTGTTATTTGATAACTGAAGTATTTGAAAGCTGAAGAGTTTAAATCAGTAGTAAACACAAGCTGGCTCCAGATCTAAAAGCATGAGCAATGGTCTGTACAGTGTGTGGTGGGTCAGGACAAGAACCAGGGTCTCTGGTCATGTTGATAGGCTTCAACCCCCACTTTCTCTTGCAGGTTAGAATTCCACAGATCCCTGAGATTCCCATCCTCAGAGATCTCAGGCTAAAAAGAGGTTCTTCCCAGAGGAACAGGTGTAGCTGCAGCCAAAAGTTTCAGCAAGAACATCTGGAAAATTCTGGAACATCTCACCTACAAGGAAAGACTGAAGCATTGTAATTGCTCTGTCTGGAGAAGAGAAGATTCCAGGGAAATCTTGAGCCCATACCTAAAAAGGCTTCAGGAGAGCTGGAGATGAACTTGGGACAAGGACATGAAATGACAGGACAAGGGGGAATGGCTTCACACTGCCAGATGGCAGGGATAGATGGCATATTGGGAAGGAATTCTTGGCTGTGGAGTGGAGAAGCCCTGGCACAGGTTGTCCATAGAAGCTGTGGCTGCCTCATCCCTGGAAGTGTCCAAGGCTAGATGGGGCTTGGAGCACCCTGGGATAGTGGGAGGTGTCCCTGCCCATGGCAGGGGCTGGGACTGCATCAGCTTTAAGGTTCATCCCAACCCAAATCATTCAAGGATTCTGTGATTCTATGAAATTCAGGCAAGGTCTGCATGGTGTGTGCCTGGGTGGGGATGGTATTTCAAACAGCTTAATTTACAACATCCAGAGACAACTGAAAACCAAGCAGAATGCACATATGTTTACAGCAAACCTATGTGTTTTATGCATGCCTTTTATTCAGATAAACAGGTAGGATTGGGTGGAAGGTACAAGAACACACTCCAGGTCCTTTGGCCAACCCTCTTGTTGATATTTCCATGGTGGAGAAACCAAGTTTTCCTGGGCCAAGCACTGCACACCCTGCAGTCACAACAAAGGAAAAGAGCAAGAAGAAATGGCAGCACCTTGTCTGCACAAGCCCAAGTTGAACTGCAGCAAATACAGGGTACAAAGCACAGCTGAGAGGTGAGGAAGAGCAAGACATCAGCTGCTTTATTCATCCTGCTCCATACAAAATCTGCTGGCATCCACTTAGAAATGAGTGCCACTCCCAACAGTGTTAATTTGGGACAGAGCATTTGATCCTCCACAGAGGAAGGACTATTGATCTGTGAGGAGCTGTGAGAAGAGGAGGGTGAGGGGAGCATGCTAGACAACACCTTTAAGTCTGCCAGAACTCCCCCCTATTTATCACAGTATTTCCAAAAGCCTTTCCTGGGCAGGGGTATGTGCTCCCAAACCAGGTCTACATGTCTGAGACCAAAGGTGAGGTTTGAAGTGGTTTGAATGTGTACTAGGGCACGGTTTTCAGGTGAGAAAGAGGTCATGGGGATCATCCCATGCCTGAGACTACAAAATGGGCCAAGCTAACAACCCAATAATCCACAAGCTTCTGAGATGCAGCAAGCTAATGAGGCTCTGCCCGTACTTTAGAAAGGTCTCCTTGAACTTGACCTGCTGACTATGTGAGGGCTAAAACTGCTGTTCTGACAGGATCTAGACCTGTTTTCAAAACCAGAGACTGGGGTTTTCTCTCTCTCCAGTCTCTAGTTTCTGTAATGACAACCTGAAACTTCAAATACAAATTCCTGAATGATCCGAAAAAGGGAGGGGGAAATATCTCTACTGAACAACTACAAGGTAATAATTTTTAAAATTATATATATGTGTATATATATATATATATTTATTAATCAAAACTCTGTTTAAAAAAAGAAGTGGTTTGGTTTGGTTTGGTTTGGTTTGGTTTGGTTTGGTTTGGTTTGGTTTTTTCCTTGCCTGTGAATGGAATGACAAGAGGATCAGCACAGGACAAAACCTCCCCTTTCAGACAGAAACCACCACAAAATTCCAGCCCTTGCAAACTCCAGTTTCTTGCAAATTAACCAACATCACAAAACGATGAAATTTCATCCCTGTTTGTTTGTTTGTTTGTTTGTTTTATCCAGACAGGTTTTTTCAGGAAGGAGCTTTTGCCACCCAAACAGCGCCGCTGCATCAACCAGGAGCTGAGCTGAGCCTCTTGGAAGTTGCCTCATCTCCCAGCAAATGAGGAAGGGAGGGAAACACCGGCGCAGGCGACGCTGCACCTTGCAGCAGAGACTCCTGTGTCCTACAAGTAACCTTGCATCACGGTACAGAGCCGCAGCAGCAGCAGCCTTATGGGTGCAGTGAGGAGGAGGAGGAGGACAGCGACTAGCAGGGGAAGGGCAGCAGGAAAACAGTCAGAAAACTCCCTGAGAGTCTTCTCTGCCTCCTTAGGAAAAAAAAAAAAAAATTAAAAAAAAAATACATATATATAAAATTTTAAAAATAAAAATTCCTCCCCGATACGGAGATGTAAGGAGAGGATGAGCCACTTTACACTCCCAAGTCCCTATCAGAGACCCCCTCCCTTTCCCAAATTTCACTGGAGGGGAGGGATGGGGGGAAGCTGGAGGAGAAAAGGGTCACATTGAAAAGGCGAATGGGAAGCAGGGAGGAGGGAGGACACTCCTGAGCCCGGCCAGTGGCCCCACGGTCTCAGCCATTCTCATTCCTGACACGTTCCCCTGCTCTCCAGCACAGCCCAGCCTCGCAATATTAGCGTGGCGCAGAGTGTGCCATTTTCGAGTCGCTGCAGCTCCTTCTTGGCACCGGTTCAGCTTTTTGTCTTGCCTTCTCCTCCGAGCGCCCAGCGGAGGGAGGAGGAAAGAAAGGAGGAGAATAAAGCCCCGCTGGTTCTCTGCCGGGGCTGTCAGGCTCCCCGCAGCATCCCCAGCCCTCCCAGCCCGCTCCCGACCGAGCCACCCGGCGAACATAAATCTCCTTCCACCTCCACGGCAGCCAGCTCACAGCCTCCTTCCCCCTCTCCGCCGCCACCCCCTTTTCATCGCCGCTCTCCTTTGTACTCCTCTAAATTTTTCCAGCCAAGCGTTGCAACCTTCCACCCTCCCTTTCTCCTCCATCCCCAGCCCTCCCACCTCCTCCTCCTCCTCCTCCTCCTCCTCCTCTCGCATGGGCAGAAAGGATCGTGCCATGGTTGCCAATGCTCTGGCATCTCCCCGGAGTGGGGAGGGAGCCCCAGAGCAGGTCCGGTCCGGCTCGGAGCTGCCCAGGCGCTGAGCTCACAGGTGTGTGCACACACACGTGTAACATGCTCCTCATCCCTCGGCATCGCTGCCAACACCAGCCTGAGTTTGGCAGCCGAGTCCCTCCTCCTGCTTGTGGGGCCGGGAGGAAAGCAGAGGCAGAATAACAAGGGAGGGACACTGTATTTTTTTAAGCAACCCAAACATGGCACTGAGCGCTTCCACCAACAACTTCTCAGCCTGCTGTGCTGGCAGCCAGCTGCTGGTTCCAGCCTGGCACCAGCTTTGATTTCTTTTTCACTCCTCTTAAACGCCCTCC